GTCGTATCACTTTTTTCAAAATAGATATATTTTAAAAGGAAAAGCGGTGTTAAACTTAGCTCGTCCAGACGAATATTAAGGTATGCTATACTACAGTTACATCTAAGGTATACGCTAGACAAGGTAGGAAGTCACCATAAAGAATCCGTTTGAACATCACATAGGGGTGGTTGCAAGACGGATTCGCGATGTTGACATCCTATCGGATCTACCGTACACTATAAATGATGGCTTAGCTTCGCTTTTCGTGCAGGCCCTAGCATTTTTCCATCCGTTTCTGCTTCTCGCTAGCGTCATCTATGATGTTGTATTAAGCTGAGGCGGCGACGTTCGAAAGGGCAGCTCCGTTAATCTTTACCAGCTGTTGATTTAGCTGGTCCATCTGTGCAAGAACACATCAGCTATTTGGTCGGTGGTCTCCCTCGAAGACGTCTTACTTCTTAGGGATCCATTCTAGTGCTCTAAGTGTCCATCTGTCGTTTGTCCTTCTCATTATATGACCAGCGCACCAATATTCTGCTTTAGAGACATATTCCGCTGAATCGCAAAGAAGAGGCATTGATCTCATATCTGAAGTGCGAATCTTGACAAAATGTTGAGTGTGTCGGATATACTTCATAAGACATCACTCCAGCGCTCTATGAGTTGTTCGGAGAGCTTTTGACGTAGCCACAATGTCAGGCCATGTTTCTGCTACGTAGCAGAGCGCAGAGTACGATTGAATCGAAAGGCGAGCCTGCAACTCTAAGTCCGTCAGCTGGCCTGTCTTCCTTTAGGAACCCGAAAGCGGACCAGGCTGCTCTTCGCCTTCTGCTCAGTTCTTCTTTCAGTTCGTTCTTCATGCTAACCGAACGTCCGAGATATGTGTAAGCGTCCGCGTCTTACAGTTGCATTTCCTGATCCTCGCGAAAAGCGTTCTTCATAAACTCCCTACTTCGTTTAGGCAACATCGTCTCCGCTTTACTGGTATTTCTTGAAAAGAAGATGATGTGGTCTGCAGAACGATTTGAGAGGATCTTCCATCAACTTCTATACCTTCTCGTTCCAACCAAGTGATTTCATTACCCACTGCAAGCGGCTTTGGCGACGCGACGTCGCCTTGTCAAATCCCCTTTGAAACTGGTATACTAAGAGGCGATGGAAATGCTGTACCGTTGTGGAGAAGTTCTTGCAGCATTCGACCGAAAGATGGGTCCACGTCTTGGTCGACGAATGGCTGACAATATGGCAATAGTCTCGACGCTGTCAAACGCTTTCTCATTTCGTCGACAAAGGTTAAGACAAGAGGAGGGCAATTCTATACCTCGATAATCCTCGCAACCGCCTGGATGTGATCCACGCAGCTGAATTCTGGCGAAATCCAGCTTGTTCTACGAGTTGGGCTTCATCCAATGTCTCCGTATGCAGAAAATAGTCTTCGTACAGCTTGTAAGGCACGCTCAGTAGGCGAATTGAATAATAATTCGAAAATCCTTCCCATCGCCCTTTTTATATAGTAGTATTGTTGGGGAGGCTTCCCATGGTCGGGGATTCTTTCTTTTTAAAGGTAAGATGTTAGGTTCTCCGCGTATGTATGTCCTCCAGCTTGTAAAAGGTCGCTCAAAAGTGGTCCGGTCTTGGAACCCTGACTACCTTCACAGTCTGGATTGCAGTGCGTACTCTAGCGGGTAGATGTGGTGGTATTTCTTCACTGGGTTAGCGGAAGAGATTGGTTTAGAATCTGTGATCGACTCTATTTTCTATGTGGAAGATGTGCGAATCCCGTCTTCGTTCATCAATAATGTTCAGCAGGATACGGTGGTCGAAAAGTTCCGTGCACTACCTGTGCTGCTTTCAAAAGTTTCGATTGCCTGAACGTTCAAAGATCTTTTAGCAAAGGTGTTCTGCGTATTGGCTACAAATCGCTCGATGTGATACAGTCGCATCTAGGCTCAGTGCTCTCCTCTTTCACAGCAGATCTTTGCTGGATTCCAAAATTTGTTCTAATTCCTTGTTTGAGGCTTCAGGTACTTTCACTGCAGGCTCTCAGCTTTCTGAGAAGGTCGTAGTCTTTTGGTCTTCCTCGGCGGGCCACTCACAAGTGATCACGAGCTCGTATTGACTCACATACGACTCCTCTCCTTCCATACATACATACATACATACATACATACATACATACATACATACATACATACATACATACATACAT